CATTTTTCTTCTGCAAATCGGTTAAAGCGAGATCTGTTTTCTCCTGGTAAAATTTTAGGCTCGCTGTCGAATTCTGCTGTTGCTTCTCAGCTTTATTTAAGCTTTCTTTCAAGTTCTCAATGTCGTGGCTGGCGGTTGTTTGCGAATATTCCAGCTTCTGTATTCTTCCTTCCAATTTTTGAAGGGACGTTTGGACTTCATTTACTGTTGTTTGGATAGCGTCTAGCTTTTCCAGCTTTCGATTTATCTCCTCCAAAGCTTTATGAAAACCTTCGGCCATGTTCAAAACCGTAAAGATTTCGTCTTCAACCTCGTGCTCCTCGACTTCTTCAGGAGAGTTTACTTCATCACTCCTCGCTTTTTTTGCTTCTGGTGAAGTGCTCGACTCCTCTGAAGAGGAATTCTCGCTTCTTTTCCTTTCCAAGATCTTTTTCAACAGTTCTTCCATTTACCACCCGGGAAAAATAGAATATGTGGCGGACGGATCAAGGACACGTCTTACGCCATTGCTACCCAGGCCCCTTTTTCGTTTACAACAGTATCGACAACATCTTGAATTTCAAAAAGCAACGCACGCATCCGCATTCTGTTTTCCGCCCGTTCGCCTCAGATACGTCACCGAAGTGAACTGACCGAGAGGGACTGGGAAACGCCGTACAAGGACTAGACAAGGGAAACACCACGCGTGCATTGCCCCACATCAGCACCCATGCATTACCGCGCGAGTCAAGAGAGCTTACAACCTTCACGGTTGTCTAGCACAGTACTCAACTGTCGACTGCTTCATAAATGCACAGGAAAACATCAAAACGTTACTGGGATTCACACGATGTTTTATAAACACTCTCTGTTCGTACACTAACTAGGTAGAGAAGGAAAAGATAGACTTATCACTTATTTAATAAAGAAGGGGACATCGTAGAACTGTATAAAAGGTCGCTATATATGAGCGCGATATCCACGACTTCATCAAGTTATCCGAAGGGTTTTTGAGGGCGGTTGAGGCATGGCGGTAGACAACGTACGCCTCGTATTACTCTTCCACAAGGACACTGTTTGAACTTTGGGGACAACATAACTTTGCATACATTTAAAGGATATATATAAATCCCTATAAGTTCGTCGGCTCATTTTATAACTGTTTAAAATGTAATACACGACGGTGTCTTCGACCTACTTTAAACAAAATTAACAAATTATGATTACAGAGACAGTTATTTGAAGTCATCGAGATGGTTACTATCGTATTTTTTTTATCACTTTTTTATTTCAATGGTTGCATCAAAAAAGAAAAAGGAAGAAAAAACAAGAAGACTCGAATTGATAACAACATAATGTGCTATTCGACTTACACGAAAATAACTAATATGCATTCTTGAACTAAAAGTTACACAATGGGCTCTCTTTCTTCACAAAACGAAAATTAGCTTCTTTAACTAAAAATTCACCGAAAGTATCAGTAGACGTTAAATTTACTGATAAAACACTTTGTAATACTTAAAACGGCGTTGCCAATTATTCTACATTGGTCGCTTCGGCATGTCTTTAAAAGGCTCTGAGACGTTTGGACCAAAACATCATAGGAACAAGCCGCGTAAGCACAGATGCAAGGCGGCTTTTTTTACATTTTCTGTATAAGATGTACTTTAATATGTTTGAAGGTAGCGATCTTAGTTAAAAGTACGCTATTTAGCAAAATCCAAGAAGGCAATTAAGATTGCAGCCATTTCTATTAATGACGTCATATCTCATCACAGGCAGCCCAAGCTCACGTCACGTGAAAGGATTAGATTAATTATTAGCGGTGTGCGAGCCGGGACGTGACTGTTCAACGAAAGCGGTATTGGGTTACATGGCGGTCGTGAATTTATAAAGGATTTGTATGGTAATCCACGTTATAGATTTAGGAAGATAAATACTCGTAGAAATTCTCAATAAAAAACGTCTTACCTTATTTACATGGTGTGTTCTTGCTTGCTGTGTGGTTCTTATCCTGGGTCCCCTCGGGTCGAATAGACAATACCGCATTGTCTCAATCGACCAATCAAAATCGCGCCGATTCGACCCGAGGGGACCCAGGATAAGAACAGAAATTCATGTTGACAATTTGCGTTAGTGTACCCCGTGAGTCTTTGTTTGTCAACGTGACGAGGTTACCAAGCCGACTTCAACGGTCGTTGTGTCGTGGTGGATTTGTACGCGG